AGGCCCATGAGGACATGGAGCTCTCGTCTGCCGTGCAGCGCAGCAAGGACATGGTGTGTGGGATCTGCATGGAGGTGGCCTACGAGAAAGCCAGCCCCAGCGAGCGCCGCCCCAGGATCCTCTCCAGCTGCAACCACACCTACTGTCTCAAGTCTATTCGCAAGTGGAGGAGTGCTAAGCAATTTTTTTTAATTAATTTATTTATGGCTGTGTTGCGTCTTCGTTGCTGCACGCAGGCTTTCTCTAGTTGCGGCGAGCGGGGGCTACTCTTCGTTGCAGTGCGCGGGCTTCTCATTGCGGTGGCTTCTCTTGTTGCAGAGCACGGGCTCTAGGCGCACGGGCTTCAGTAGTTGTGGCACGTGGGCTCAGTAGTTGTGGCTTGCGGGCTCTAGAGCGCAGGCTCAGCGCTCTGGAGGGGAAGTGTCATGGTTGGAGAGGGGTGTGCAGGGGCTTCAAAAGCATTTGCAATAACCTAGTTCTTTTGTTTTAATCGAAGTATAGTTAATTTACAATATCGTGTTAGTTTCAGGTGTACAGCAAAGTGATTCAGCTATACATATATATTTATATAATTATTTACTTCCTTATTTTCAGATTATTTTCTGTTATAGATAATTACAAGATACTGAATCGCAGTTCCCTAGTTCTTAAAATGAGTGGTTCACACAGAGGTGTTCACCGTATAATTGTGTGCCTATGTTAGTAACTGTGAGCCTGTGCTGGCCACTTCCCCTGGGGAGAATCCAGGAAGGCAGGGCTTATCACCCTGGGAATCCCCTGGTCCAGGAGGGGAGTTTTTGACTCCCCAGCCAGTGGGAGGAGGAAGCCCCCTCTCTCTTCCCCTCCCAAGGAAGACATTGGGCTCTGGACTCCCCGGCCCCCAACCCCTGTCTACACAGGACATAAGGCAGCTTCCTTTCCCCCAAAGAGGCCAGAGTGGAGACCAGGGGATCCCCGGCCCCAGGCCAGCGGGGTTGGAAGTCACAGCCTGACTGTGACTGGGAGGTAAGACCCACACCCTAAAGAATCCAGGGCAGTGGTTCCCTGGCTTTGGGTTTCACCAACTAATAATACTTTTTAAAATATAAATACACAAATCGTGTTGCCACCATTTTGTGGGGTTTTTGTTTGTTTGTTTGTTTGCGGTACGCGGGCCTCTCACCGCTGTGGCCTCTCCCGTGGCGGAGCACAGGCTCCGGACGCGCAGGCTCAGCGGCCATGGCTCACGGGCCCAGCCGCTCCGTGGCATGTGGGATCTTCCCGGACCGGGGCACGAACCCGTGTCCCCTGCATCGGCAGGCGGACTCTCAACCACTGCGCCACCAGGGAAGCCCCACCATTTTGTTTTTTGAAGAAATTAGAAGACAACAATTACCACTTCCTGTGCTCCCACCCCATAAGTACAGGGTATCTTGATACTAAAATAATAGAATTAAGGCATGCATACTTGAGAAAAGGAGAACCCTTTTCACTGAATGCACGTAGCTTTATGGAAACTTCACTGCAGTAGCCCGATTTCCTCAGCGGGCAGTGGAGTAGAAAGTTGGGTCACAGAGATCCAATCAGGGGAATTGCATCTGGAAAATTCTAAAACGAGGGCCATGTGGGCATCCATGGCACTCAAGGGCAAGCAAGCCACCACCCTCACGGGCACACACACCAGACTCACCCCTTCCGAGGGACGGCCACAAGTGCATACGCGCACGCACACACACACACACGCTCCTCCCCAGGGCTCCCGGGTTGGAAAACCTGCCCTGGCATTTAGGTGTGGCCATACTTCTCTCCTGAGCCCAGAGCCGAGGGTGGGGCTCACCCAGCCCGTGTCAACCGGTGGAGCCAGGTGGGTGCTGACCCGGGGCCAGAGGTGGGCCACCCGCTCAGGCCCCCGGCCCACTGCCTCTGGCCGGGAGACCAGAGCTCTGTCCACCTGCAGGGAGTCCAGGGCCCTGTTCTGTACCCCTGGTTAGGGCTGTGACCTTGAGCAATTCAGTCTCCCTCTCTGGGCCTCCAGAAGCCGGCTACAGCCCCGTGCACCAGGCCCATGGGCAGATGGGGGCTGCGCTGCTCAGCGGTAGCCTCAGGGACCCGCTTAGGAGTGTGTCTCGGGATAGAGTGCCCGTCACCCACCTCCAGCGGAGGGCCCGCTGGCCGGCTTTAGGGCTGCTGAGGAGGGAGCCCTGCTGGGGTCAGGAAGGCGGCTGCCGTCCGCACTGGCCCCAGCGGCCTGTCCCAGGCTTCGGCAGCTTGGTCACCCACCTGGAACAAACCTGGCCAGCCGGGAGCCCTGCGGGGAGCCTGACTCGCTTCGTGGGGGGCCATTGGGGCTAATGTTTAACGGGCTCCCTCCTTGGCGGGACACTCCAGTCCCTGCAGCCCTGAGCCTGGGCCTGCCCTGACCATCCTGCTGCGAGGTGGACCCCAGACAGACAGTGGGCTCGGCCTCCTGCCCCGTGGATATAGAGACCGGGGGGGCGGCCGGCCTCCTCAGGCTCTGGGGCAGGCAGGGGTGTAGCAGGTGGCTGTTCTGCCCTGGTCGTTCCTTCCAGGAGGCAGGAGCTCCCCCTCCAGCGGCTGCTATAGGTCCGCGTCCCTGCTGTTGGAGAAAGTCGGCCCCTTTGTCCATTTGGGTGCATTTGCATCTCATTTGAACGTTTTCTCCTCTCTGGGGACAGGCGAACTCCAAGGTGCTTATGCATTGCCCTTGGTCCCCGGCCACATCCCTTCTGGAAAGTTACAGGTCGGGCTCTGTTGAGGCAAGTCTGATCCCAGAAAAGGGTGACCGCCAAGGCAGGTTGACCCAGGTCCCTGTCCCCAGCCTGCAGCTGTCACAGCCCTTGACTCGTGGTGAGTGACTTCAACTCTCCCAACCTCCGTCTCCTCATGTGTCAATGAATCTGAGATAACAGGTACCCCTTAGGTTTTGGTGAGAACGTAATGATGTGATTCTGGTAAGGCATGTTATTAAGTCGTGACTAAGAGTCCGGGCTCTAACAGACCAGCTGAGTTCAGTCCTGGCCCCTCTTTCACTAACCATGTGACCATGGAAAGGTGTTAACCTCTCTGTGCCTCACTGTTCCCATCTGTGAAATGGGAGTGGTTGTGGTCCCTCTCTCATGGGGTGTCGTGAAGGTTAGATGAGCTAATTCAGGTGCAGAGAGCAGTGCCTAGAGTGGAGTGAGTGCTGCGGCCGCTGGTCTTCAGTGGGGCCCAGCTCCAGGCTCTGCCCTGCTCGTGTCCAGGCTGGGTCCCTGCGTGGTGAGTGGGGACCGGGTGGAATCGTGGTTCTCTCTCTCCAGAGACCACGCCTCCCGCCCAGGCCCTGCTGTGGCCACAACTAAGCCAGCCCCGCCCACTGCCACCCCAAGGAGCCCTGTGACAGAGCCCCCTGGCCGTCACCACTCAGGGCTCCGTTGCACGGGGGTAGGCTAGGTCTGGCCCTGCCAGGAAGCAGAACGGACTGGACATCCTCCCGGAGGGCTTTGGGTGGGGCAGGGGCCCTTTCCCAGAGGGCCCTCCTCCCACGGGCTCTCTGCGCCAGGCGTTTGCTCTGAGTCAGGCCTGGCTTTGCAGGGCAGGGTGGGGGCCCCAGCGTGCTGGGCCCCAGGTCAATAGTTGGGGGGCGGAACCGAGCACTGCCTTTGCAACTCGGGGCCAGGATCTCCCAGGGCTGAGAGGAAGCAGAGGGGGGAGGCCACGCTACAGACTCAGGCCGGCCGCAGTGACCTGTGCGTCAGGGAAGGGGGCGTGTGTGTGGCTGCCAGGCGTGAGACCCAAGCCAGGCTCTGTGCCTGGCCCAGCCCCGCCGGGCTCTCCAGCTGCGTGTGTGTGTGTGTGTGTGTGTGTGTGTGTGTGTGTGTTTGTGTCTGGGTGTGTGTGTGTGTCTGGGTGTGTCTGCGCCTGAGAGTTTCCGTGTTTCTAGGAGCTGTTTTCTTTGAGCACGTCCACCTCTCCGCCCACTGAGCTGTTTGCAGCAAGGACCCAGGCAGACTGCTCTTCCCCCAGCACATCTCGGGCTGCTGGTCCTTCAGGGGCTGGCGGCTGCGTGGCCGGGAGCCAGACCCCGGCCCAGGGGCCCCTGGTGCTGCACTTTGCTCCCAGCTTCTGGCATTTATGGTGGATAATGCACTGGGAGCAGAGGGCAGAACAGGGACTCACAGGCAGCTGGAGGGCTCTTCACACAGCCCAGCCTCTCCTGGGGCCAGTGCCGGGCGGCCAAAAAGCCAAGGGCCGGGCCGGGGACCAGCTGCTTCCTCGTAGGCATATCTCAGGAGTCACACGACACTGCCCGGAAAAGCCTCTCTGGCCCAGACGTTGGTCTCTGCTCCACGGGAGCCGCTGCCCTCCGTGTGTGTGGAGGGGTGCCCCCAGGCCCCCCATTCCACCCCAGCAGACGTGCACCCCTCACCGGGCTTTGGCCCAGATGTCAGCGGGATGGAGAAAGGACCTGACCTGGAGGACAGACAACTGACTGCCACACCTTGGGACAGAATCAGTCCTGGGGGACATGGTCCGTCAGGAGTGTGAAGGAAAGACAGTCAGGGAGGGTGGATGCAGGTGGACAGGGCTGGCCCAGGACCCGATGGGAGAGCCCAGGGCAGGCGTGAACAAGGAGCTGCCTGGTGGCCGGGGTGGAACTGCAGGGCATCCCCCTGGCTGGGCCAGGACACTGACCTGACTGCTCACCCCGAGGGTCAGGCACACCAGGGTACCCGGGAGAGGGGAGCCAGGGGAACGGCCCCGTGAGAGCAGCAGGGCCAGGGGCTGGGAATGGAGGGGCCCCCTGACAGCCGCAGGTCAGGCTGGGCTGAGCTGAGCACCCTGGCGGTGACGCTGTGCTGTGTGGTGTCACCGGACCAGATGGCAGGGGGACCAGGGGGACCTGAGCAGGTGGCCCTCCATGCTGCCCCGAGCTGCTGCCTGAAGCCCAGCACAGCCTCCCTCACAGGCTCCCTGCCTTCCCCCTCCCCCAGGTGCTTACAGCCAGAGCTGCAGAAGTGAGCAGGACACTGGTTTTAATGGAGAGGCTGTGACGCCCGCGGGCGCTTGACATACAGAGTGGAGGGTGCATGCCTCCTCGAGGCCTGGTTGCCCCACAGCGGCCGGAGCCCCAGGGAGCCCACCCGCCAGCCAGGCGATGTCTTCAGACGCTGCCGTTCCTCCCCTCTGTGTCTGTTAATCCCAGTCCCGCCGGAAGGCGCTCAGGCTGGAGGGGAGACGTGGGAGCAGGGGGCGCGCTCTGCAGTGCAGGGGGGTATGCTGAGAGGCCGGCAGGCGGGGCTGCAGGAAGGAGCAGGCAGGGCACCCGGAGCACAGTTTGGCCAGCTGCCTGCGGGACAGAGAGGCAGCAGCCCTCAGTTCCCAGCCCTTCTCACCCCGGCACCCAGGCTGGACTGCTGTCCACAGGGGCTCCTACGAGCCTCAGCTCTCCCCATCCTCCTCCCCACGGGGCTCCTCGCATCTGTCCGCCTGGGCATCCTCCCACGCGTGGCTAATCCCCACCTCTGAGCTCTGGTTGCACCATCAGCCCCTGACACGCCCTCCTGCGTCCGCAACCCCATCACATCCTCGGAGAGCCTGCCCCTCCAGGAGGCTTCTCAGACGGACAGGGCTGTCGGACAGACCCTGCCCTGTTGCGTGTGCCCTCCGCACGCCCACAGAGGGCTTCACGTGTCCTAACGTTCTGCTTTCTCCAGCAGCTTCCTCGGAGAGTGGGTGGCCTTGTCTCCTCTGAATGGAAGCCCCCCGACCAGTACTGGGCACTTTGCAGGATTCCCCAGGAGGCAGTTAAAAGTGCTTTAGACTTTTGGAAAGTCAGAGCTGGAAGGCCCTGGGGGTCATGGAATCCAGGGGTTCTAAGCTCTGGCATCAGAGTCACCCAGGGGCTGATCCCACCCCAGAGGCTCGGATCCAGCAGGCCTGGGAGGGGCCAGATCATCTGCGCCCCAGGCGATACACCCGGGGGGATCACAGAGCTGACGCAACCCCATGCTGCAGGTGAGGGAGTGAAGGGCCCCGAAGCAGGAAGGATGTGCCTACGGTCTCGGGGGACCAGGACTGAGCCACCTCAGGGCTCCTCTTCCCCGCCCACCCTGCCCAGCCCGCCAGCCGCCGTCCTGGCGTCCCTGCGGCCCTGTCAGCTGGGGCCTGGGAGCGGGGAGCTGGCTCCGCCTACCTCTACTGGGAGGTCGGGGACTTAGCAGCGTCGAACATCTTCTTGCGGCCCTCCATCCCGGACATGGCCTCCACGTTCTTCCTCCAGTCGCCCACCTCCACGGGCCGCTCCTGTGGGCGGCCACACAAGGGACACCTAGCACCAGGCCCTCCCTGCGCAGGAGCGGCTGGGTGATGGGAAGTCAGCCTCCCCTAAGAGGTGGGACATCCCAGCCCTCCTCCCAGAACAGGGGTCCTGGAACGTGCCGCCAGCTGGCGGGGCTCATGTGGGGGGTGCAGGGCTGGCCGAGGCCGCGTCGGGTGAGGTCGGGGGCTCACCTTCTCCGTGTCCTCCTTTTTCACAGACTTGAGGTTGGCGCGCAGGTCCATGGACACCTTGTGCTTGGAGCCCAGCAGGGCGCGCAGCATGGCGTCGGCCGAGACGCGGACGCGCCGCAGGGGGGGGCGCTTGAACTTCCCGCGCAGGTCCAGCACCTTGAGCTTCAGGTCCTTGATCTGCGGGGAGGGGGCAGCTCAGGGCTCCGGGCCCCAGCCAGGCCCCACTTCTCCAGGCTCCAGGCCAGGCCCTCGGGGACGCCCAGACCCACTATCTGTCACCTTGCAAACAGCCACCTCCGTTCTATCCTATTCAATTGGTACAGGGGTGAGTGGGACTCCGAGAGGGAACTCGGTTAGCCGTGGCGGCCATGGCAGCCATGCAGGGAAGAGACAGAAGTGTCATTCGGAAGCCCTGTTTGCAGTGGGACGGGCCACTTCCTCTTATTCCCGCTTCTAACCAGTCCCTTCCCAGTGAGCCTTCAGAGCAGGTCATTGAGGGCACAGCCCTGGTCCAGCAGGATGGATAAACCCCATGTCCGAGCCCCCTGCGGGATTTCCAGGGTGCAACCTCAGGAGGAAATTCTGGGGGGATCCCTGAACCCACAGACCGTCATTCCTGCTGGGGAGGAGTGGGAAGGAGGGAAGTGGCTCTAGTCCCTCCCCACCCCTCTGCTGGAACAGGCACCCACTCCAGCAGCAGGAGCCCTGCCCCTCCGCATTCTGCCCACCGCACCAGAGCTGGGTCTGGGTGGAGCTGACGCCCCGCGCCCCATGCCGGGGGAGTGCTGAGTGACTGGAGTGAGGGTCCGAGGCCAGGCCCATCCCAGGTCCACTTGCTGTGTGACCTGGGCCGAGTTTCTCAGCCTCTCTGAACCTGTGTGCTCATCTGTCAGGTGCAGATAAAAGCACCCACTTCGTCCACAGGCGTGCAGGGAGGATCAAAGGGACAAGGCACATGAAAGCCGTTTGCAAGGTAAGGTGTTATTAACAGGCTACGATTATTTGTGTGGGTGAATAAAAGGGGTGGCTTCTCTTCCATTGAAGAGCCCACCTTATAGGTTGGATGAAGTCTATGCTTTTCATCTGTGTGAAAAGCATCACCTTCTCTCTGCCCAACTCCAGCCCTGGGGGATGGAGTGCAGGGACCAGAGCTTCCTAAGTGCCACTCCCCAGACCCGGTAGTGGGAGGGGGACCTGGTCCACAACTGCCACGTCAGTGCCCACCCGACACCCCCAGACGTCACCCGCCACCCACCTGACCTGCACTGGCTGTGCCCACCTTCTCACACACCACCCTGTCCCAGCCAGCCAGCCTGCTCCAGCTGTGCCCCTGCCACCTCCCAGCCCCAGCTCACCTCCCTGGTGTTGCCACCCCCCAGCCCCGGCTCACCTCCCTGGTGTTGCCGCCCCCCAGCCCC